GCCCCTCTATAAACATGTACACCCGGGAGCCTAAACCCCTCAACCTTTTTAAACCAAACCCAAAACATAATCTAACAAACTACCCTTTTATTAAAATGCTATATCATACCTTGTATATTTATTTTTCCCCCTTTTTTTTCCCCTAAAATATGTTAAATTTCTTATTTACCAAAAACCCCTTTCTCCCCAAAAACTCAAAATTTAAAACCCCCCCCATTTTCATTTTACCCCTGGCACCCCAAAATTTTCCTATACTCCCTCCACAACATTTTTTTCACTTTAGCATTGAAATCCCCCAAACCCCCATTTTCCCCTCACACTTGGTTCAAAAACTCCCCACGCATTCACTCAAATTTTCCCCAAAAACTTTTTCCCCTTTCCTTACCCTTCTCCTTTTTCCCCGGGCTATACACTTAAATATAACCCACTTTTTTAATCCCACCTTTATTTTTCCCCCACAAAAGTCCCCTTTAATTAATACATTTAAAATCCCCCTTTTCCCGCCATAACTTATCCCTTTTAACATTTTTTGCTTTTCCTTCTTTAGCTCAACTCTAAATTTTAAACCCCTGAAAAATTCCCCTTTATTCCTTCCACCCGAAACTCTCCCACCCCCCTTTTGCTTTTTTTTCACTTTTAAAACCAGGGCATCCAGCTTTTTTCTAGTTTTTATAAAAACCACCCAAACATCTCTTTTCTTTTCCCTTTGCACCAAAATCCATGCACAAATTTAGAAATTCCCCCCTTGACAAATTTTTTTCTTAATTTTTTTAAATGTTTTTTACGGGAAAAGGGGTTTCTTCCATTGTTTTCCCGGGATTTTAGTTGACTTTTACAACAATCATGGCTTACGGGGGAAAGTTTTTTTTTTCCACTTCCCCATGGGTTTAAAAGGAAAAGTAATAAGAAACCCAAAAACTAATTTAAAATAAAATTTAAAAAAAAACTCAGATTAGTGTGTTAAAAAAAAACATGTACATTATGTGTAGTGTGACCTAAGTGTAAAATAGAAGTAGCAAGACGTTTTTTTAATCTTGCATATTTATGAGACAGACAAAAGACACCAGGAAATTTTTTTCCTTTTCCACATGTTAAAAAAATTAAAAGGCTTTCGTTTTACACTCATTGGCAGGACGGTAGTTCCCCCCTGGGTAGTTGCTGTCTACCAAACCCACTAATTAAATTTAAATTTTTCCCTTAAAAGACATGGGGTCAAATTCTTAAAGGGCTTTTTTTGCACCTGTTAAATATTCTCCCCTTTCCCGACAGCCTCCCAATTTTTTTGTGGTTTTTTTTATTTGTTAACTAAATAAATTTTTGGGTTTTAAAAAATTAATTTTTTAATCAAAAAAAAGCGCAAAGCACCAAAGGAAATTTTACAGCGCTGCAGGGCAGGAAGGGGCGAGGGCACAGGGGGGCAAAAGGGGATGGAAGAGTAATAGGTTTCGGATAACAGGGGGGTAGTGGGTGGTGAAAGGGGGAAAGGGGAGCAAGAGGGTGAAAAAAGGGCTGAGGGGGTGTGAAAAAAATATCAGAGTTTGGGGGAGGGAAAACAGTCGTTGTCAAGAAGTAAAAGAGAGGAGTCGGGTTAAAGGAGGGGGCCAGGGTTTAAAGGGAAAATAACCTAAAAAGGCGGGGGGCCCCAAGGTTTTTTTTTTTATTTTTCATGTACTGTATTTTAAAAATAAGGGTGTATGTACAAAATTAAAATAAATTCAAAAAAAAAATTAAAATTTTTTTGAAGACGGCAGCACCCCCAGCATGGGCGTTTTGACCATTACACTTATGGTATGAAGTACATTTTTTTATTTTATTAATCATTGGGGGGGTTTCAAAAACCTTTAGGATTAACAGCACATGTAGGGGGGGGGGGGGGGAAGGCATTTAGGCCAGTTTAAGGGGAAAAAGGAGTCAGGGGTCCCAAACCCCTAGATCAGGAGCCCCCCACCAGCATCTAGGAACCTCCCTTGACGGGGGGGGAAAGCCCGTTAAAATTAAACTCCAATTATTGGACTTCAAAAAAATGGAACAAAATCCACTGGGTTGAAGGGTTAGGAAAAAGAAAAAAAGTCCTTTAATTTTTTATTTGATCACGGCCCCAAAAAATTTTTTTTTTATCCACTTTTGGTATTTCTGACCATCTCTTCTCCCCCAATTTGTCCCAATTTGATATGCAGTAAACCCCCAAATTTTTTTTGTTATAATTTCTGTACAAAAAGGACTTTCTTATTTAATTATTTGATTAACATTTGGGTTCGCGATTGGGAAAATGGTTTTTCCGTTTGGGGTGAACACAACCCTGATAAAGAAAAAAAAACTGGGAAAAGGGCACCCTTATGTTGGTTTCTTCAAAACCCCCCCAAGTCCCCACACCCGGGGATGGGTAAATTTTATACTAAGGTAAGTAGATTAAAAAGTTATGATGGGGGGGACGAAATGCTTTAAATCCCAAAAGTTATATTTTTTTTGCAAAATCCCCAAATATAATACAAAAAAGGGTTTTAGTTGAAATTACCCCACAAGACCCCACTTCTGAAGCTTTTTTTAAAAAAAACCCCAAATCTTGCAAGGTAAGGGGGGGAAGTTCCCTTTATGCGGGATTTTATTTTAAAGGGAAACAAGGTAAGCAATTTCTTTCCCTTTGAAAAAATTTTTTCCTTTCAAAAATTTTAAAAAATGTATAAATTTGGGGATTTAGCATTCTGCATTTTTTTTTTAAAGGATTTTAAAACCTGGGGTTTTATTAGAGTCCAGACTTTTGAAAAATTTTCAAGACTAATGTTTGGGGGTTGGAAAAATCTGTCCCCTTTAAATACCAAAACACTTGCACTATCATTTTTCCATCATTAGCAGGGTTAAAAAAGGGGATGTTACTGTAAAGACATGAAAAAAAATTCAAAGGACCCCGTTTATTTTCGGCAAGTTAGGTTTTAAAGGGTACCGCCATAAAGCGAATCACTTTTCCCCTTTTTTTTTTTTTTTTCCCTTTAAGTACATATAAATACCTGATAAAAGTTTACTTTTTTTGTATTTTAAGGGAGCTAAAACAAAACCAATATTGTAATTGATTAAAAAGTATTTTTTTATGTTTTTTTTCCCTTAAGTTCATGGTTATTCAGAGCATTTCAATTTTTAAAAAAAAACATATTTAATATTGTAGAGGTAATTTCAAGAAATTTTTTGGAAATTTTTTGGGGGGAGACGGCCCACTTGTTTGAAAAAAAAAAAAAATATATACAGTGGAAACCCCCGGGGTTTAAAGATATTTTTTTACTCCCTTTAAATATGTTCAGGGGCCATACTGCTGAATTTTATTCCCTAAGGAATTGTGGAAGTAGATTAGTTTCCCTTTCAGACCCCCAAACATAAAAGTACAAAAGCCCTTTCATAAAAAAACACTTACATAATTGGTGCATTTGGAAAAGGAATCGTTTTCGGGGGTCCACTGTAAAATGTAAATAAAGAGATGGGGGTTTTACAAAAGTAAAAATTTCCCAGGGTGTTTTAAAGGGGAAAAGGGGGTGGATTAAATTAGGGGAAAACAAATACAAAAAGGGAATGACAGTTTTCTTTTTGATGATACTTGTTATGGGAGAAATTTTAAGAGAAAAATTTCCCAAAAGGGTTTGTGGGCAAGTTTGGGGGTGTGGTAAAAGTAGAAAGTTGAAAGTGAATAGAAAAGGGTAAGGTGATGAGGGTACAAATGATTTTGATAAAGAAAAATTGGATATCAAAAATTGGGGGGGGAGGGTAAGGAAAAAGTGAAGTTTTAAAAATATTTGGGGGTTTTATGTTTTTCAGCGGATGGGGTTTATGAAGGGTGGATTAATCAAGAATGATGAAGGAAAAAGGCGAGTTTGGGGCGTTTTAGGTAATTGGAGACAAAAAAAAAATTTTTCTATGGAGGCAAAGAAAGGGGAATTTTATGAAAGAAAAGTAGTCCAACACTATGGGGTGTCAAGGGTTTGGGGTTTTAAATTTTTCTGGGACGGGAGGCGGTTTTGGGGGGCAGTGGAGAGGGCCCCGTCTAAGGGCAATGTTGGTGTAAATATGGGAAAAAAATTTGGAGTGGAAAATTATAAGGTGTGGAGTTAATAAAAGTATTAATTCCCAAAAGGGCTGAAGAGGGGTTTTTTGAGGGGTTTTTGGGCATTTTTTGAAGAATTTGGAAACAAAGTTGAATGACATGGAAGCGTATAAATCTGTAGGGGGAAAAACCTCCGAAAAAAGGGTTTGGGGGGAGGGGGTAAAGGGGTTTTGTGGGGGAGGGGCTTTTGGGCTTTCCAGCAAGCGGGGCGCGAGTGTGTTTTGATAGGAGGGGAATGGGGGGCCCAATGGTATTTGGGACCTGACGAGCTGTTGGAGTGTGATTATTATTATAATCAAAAAGAAGCGCTAAGCCACAAGGACTATACAGCTATTGGAGTGTGAGCAGGGTAATAGCCTGCAGTGGAAGTTAGAGGTGTGGGGCTGTTTCACAGTGAGGTCTTTGATAGATGATGTGTTTATGGTGGAAACATTTATGTTACTCTTAGCAAGTGCTCAGCAAGTATTCGTGGCAACATTACCACATGGGAGCACTACGAACTGCTTAGAGGGCTGTTCCATGGGGGGTTTGTTGAGGATAGCTTGTGCCTTGACTGCAATCCCAGATGAAGAAAGATGGAAACTGAAGACATGTGAAGGCTTGTGTTTTGTAGATACATTCAAGAAAACAAGGGCTGGAGATGCTCTTCACATCTCCAACCCTTATATTGCCATGAATACTTGCCAGGTACTTGCTAAGAGTAACAAATGTTTCCACCATAAACATGTCTATCAAAGCCCTCACTACAGAAAGTAGCCCCACACCTCTAACTTCCACAGTGGGTGTCTACACCATCCCCTGTGGATACTGTCCTAAGATAGATGTAGGTGAAACAGGCAGAGATCTTTTGGTCCACCTGAACAGGTATTGAAATACCAGTAACAGACAACTTAAGGTATGCCTGTGTTCACAGGGACTCCATGGGACACTTGATGAATTGGGATGTGGCACAACTCGTTCTCATAGAACGTGACCTTAGACGATGTCTGGAAGCCTCGCTGTTTAATGTATGTACTCTCTCTCGTGCAGTACATATATTAAACAAGTATACCAGTCATTCAAAATCTCCACCTGCTGTTAACATTTCAAGTCTTGAGCCTATCTGACCCATGACTTGCTTTCTTTACAAATAAATATATAAACACCCATAGTACCATCATGCATCACTGCCAAAGGCCTTGGAAATCCCCTCTCTAGCCTACATACCCTAACCTGAGTGAGACAGACAGACACCTCTGTCTCTCTCTCTTTCCATTAAAAAATAGATAATTTTTTTTCTGAAAAAGGTCAGTGTGTAGCCCTCAAAACTATTGCCTCTTCATTTTCAAGACTAATCCAAGTTAGTTACTCATAAATACAATTAATCCCTTAATTACTGTATGTACACAAGGGTAAATTAAGTAACATTGACAAAATTATTATAATCAAGGGGGAAGCACTAAACCTGTGGGATTATACAGTGCCTGTGGGGGAAGGGGGGATGTCCCCCTTGGAAGGTATTCGGGAACTGGGAGCACAGATCCAATTCCCTAGATGAGAGCCCCTTTCACAGCATCAGGAACCTTCCTTGACAAAAAAAAAAAAAAAAAAATCTACTTAGTGATTCATTTATATTATAATAAATTAAAATATCTCTAACATGCAATTTTTTTTTTTTCAAGATTAAGAACATAATCTTTTGTCTGTAATTTTTTTTCTTATAAACTTTCTTTTTATTTTACAGTGGTAATTCCCGAGTGACAGCACAGGGACACAGGTGTGTTTATGCGTGTACTGCCACAAATAACTTTGGACTGGCTTACAGTCAAGCACTTCTGTCTGTGCTTGGTATGTATAAAATATATTGGCTGCATTTCTGAAAAAAAAAAAAAATTTAACCTTTTACTCTGGTACATTTTTATTCTTTCCAAACAAAATTTTTAAAGGGGTGGACTGGTAAACCACTAGTTTGTGGTCAGATGATCAAAATCTCCAGTGGTCATTACCTAAGCCTTGCATTAAGAGCCATTTGTCCAGTTTCCTAACAAATCTTACCTTAATTATTACTATAGAGAATTATGGTACCTTTATATAACTTGTTAGGCTAAAATGAAGGGGTCCCAGCACAAGCCATGGGCTTCCTGCCCACCTAAAGGCTATTAGAGACAGTGGGTTACAGTTAAGGCATTAGTCCTGACTTCCCTTTCCTTGATTCAGACTACAATCTCAATGCCTTGCATTTCTCAAGGCACTGTATTACCTGGAGTTTACCTGGAGAGAGTTCTGGGGGTCAACGCCCCCGCGGCCCGGTCTGTGACCAGGCTGCACTGGTGGAACCAGTGCCCTGATCAACCATGTGTTACTGCTGGCTGCACGCAAACCACCGTACGAGCCACAGCCCGGCTGGTCAGGAACTGACTTTAGGTGCTTGTCCAGTGCCAGCTTGAAGACTGCCAGGGGTCTGTTGGTAATCCCCCTTATGTATGCTGGGAGGCAGTTGAACAGCCATTACCTGTTAGTTCCTCACTTGTCATTGAAAATGGAACTCTAGCAACTTTAAAGCTTTTACCAGCATCTCTCTTGTGGGCCTTAGACATAGCTGTGTTGCTACCAGATGAAGAATTAGACCATGTGCAACATTTGGGATTTTTATTTGTAGACATTATTTTGGTCCAACCATTGGCTTTTATCAATACAATAAATGGACATAATATATGTACTTCAAATTAGGTTCTTGTATTGGCAAGAGGCGTGGGAAGTTATTAAAAGATAAAGAATCACACACAAAGTGGGAGTTGTCCACAGTCGCTCTTTGCTGATGACACTGTGCCTCTGGGGAGGATCTGAGAGAAGTTGCAGAGATGGCGGATGAATGTGTAGGGTGTGCAAAAGAAGAAAATTAATGTGAAAATACAGGAAAGCGTAAGGGTTATGAGGATACAAAAAGATTAGGTGATGAAAGATTGAATTCAGATTGGAGGGAGTGAGTATGGAGGAGGTGACGTATTCAGATATTTGTGGAGTGGACGTGTCAGGGATGGGTCTATGAAAGATGAGGTAAAAATTAAATTTTATGGGGAAAAAAGGAGTGGGGGACTTGGAGTTGGGAGAAAAAGACTTGTCCTTGGGGAAAAGGGAATGATGAGAGTTAGTTTTCCCAAAAACGCCTTATAGGGTGTGAAGCGGGGGTTGAATGTTGCAGCGGGAGAAGGCGGGGGCATGGAGATGTCATGTCTGAGGGAAAGTGGTGTGAAAAAATGCAGAGAATTCGTAGTTTGGAAGTTAGGGGGAGGTGCGGGTTTACCAAAACTGTTGTCCAGGGCTGAGGAAGGGTTGTTGAGGTGGTTCGGACATGTAGAGAAATGGAGCGAAACGAATGATTCAAGATGTATCAGCTGTAGTGGAAGGAAGGCGGGGGAGGGGTCGGCCCCGGAAGGGTTGGAGGGAGGGGGGAAAGGGTTTTGTGTGCGAGGGCTTGACTTCCGCAGGGAGCGTGGCGTGTTTTATAAGGATGAAGGGACAAATTTTTTTAATACTTTACTGCTGTTGGGGGGTGAGCAAAGTAACTTTTGAAGGGATTCAGGGAAAACCCGGGAGGCCGGACTTGAGCCCGGAGATGGGAAATCAGTGCCCCCTCTGAAGGGGGGTTTTAATGTTTCGTTTAAAAAATGTAGTGTAAAGACCCTTTGGAAAAACAGTGATGGGTGAATGATGGGGAAAATTTTTCTTTTTTGGGCCACCCCTGCCTTGGTGGAAACGGCCCGGGTGATAATAAAAAAAAAAAAAAATTTTAAAGCCTGGTTTGGGGAAACATCCAAAAAAGATACCCGTGTTGTACTGTATTGTTTTATCTCTTGCTAGGTTAAACATAGACAAGACCTTTGTACAGTCCAAAACACATGTGGATGTCATCAATGACAGGGTCTTTAGAGATCAAATGGCACAACAAATGACCTGCAGTCTCGCCAGATACCCCACAATATTTATATTATACTATGAGTCCCTTATAGATCAAAGGCCCAGACAGGTCATTACTTTGGCTATTTATTTTTATGGTACAGCTCACATGTCAGGTGAATAGTCAACCTCTCCAGATGGTCAAGGGAGAATGTAACCTAATTATGCTAAACAAAACTAGATTGAACTGACCAGAGGTCCTCGGTGATCTTGGTTGTCGGAGCAATTGTTGTAGAGAGCCAGCCTAAAGGGAGATTTAGAAGGAATGAGGTATTCAGGCACATCTCCATTGGCTCCCCTTCCCCTCCATAAAGCCTGATTGTTGGGCTGTTTATGTGATTCTGTAATGAAAAAATTATGTAAGACAAGGTTCAGGTGCAGAGTTTGATCAAGGGACCCTCCTATAAGGGTTTTAATGTTAATACTGCACAACTATTTTGTATTATGAAACTATTATTAATTATTAAAATATTTACAAAACAGTGCTAATCTCCTACAAGCCATTCAACAATTATTATTAATACACTGGCAGTTTCCCACCAAGGCAGGGTGATCCAAAAAAGAAACATTTACACCATCATTCACACTATCACTGTCTTGCCAGAGGTAAACACATACAACACTTTAGATGTCAAAACAGCAAATATCCCAACCCCCTCCCTCCTTTAGAGTGTAGGCACTTTACTTCCCACCTCTAGGACTCGAGTCTGGCTATCCGGTTTCCTTGAATCCCTTCACAGAATATTACCCTGCTCACACTCCAACAGCTCAAGTCCCAAAAACCATTCATCTCCACTCACTCCTATCTAACATGTTCACATATGCCTGCTGTATGTCCAAACTTGCACACAAAATCTCCTTTATTCCATCCTTTCCTAGGACAACCCCTATCCTGCTTTCCCTCCACTACAGATTTGTACACCATGTCATCCTATTTTGCTCCATCCTCAGCCCTCCAATTAATACTTTTAGTAACTCCACACCTATTTCCACACTACAAATTCTCTGCATAACATTTATGCCACCATTGCCCTTAAGATATGGCATCTCCACTGCAACATTCACAACCCATGCTTCACACCCGCTTAAGTGTGTTGGTACCACTTAACTCTCATACGTTCCCTTTGCCTCCATGGATAACATTCTTTGTCTCCACATTATTATTATTATAATCAAAAAGAAGCGCTAAGCCACTTTGTCTCCACAGATGCCTCAATGCACCACCCACCTTTTTTTTCATTCATCAGTTCTATGGTTTACCCTTCCTTCACGTACCATCTGCCAACACGTCCACACCCAAATATCTGAACACATTCACTTCTTCCATACTCCCTCCCTCCAATCTGATATCCACTTTTTCGTTACCTATCTCATTTGCTACCCTCATCACATACTCTTATCTAAGTCTTGCAAAAATGTACATTCTATAGGCTTTTCAGACAGTGCCATGACCAATTTACAAACCTTCCCAAACAAATAGATGTAATAATTTTATGTAATCCTCTCAAATTTTAATTTTAATTTTTGTTTTTCCTCAGATGAATCTTCAGATGGTAATACCTTAATGCTAGTGGTTGGTCTGGCTTGTGTAGTTTGTGTCATTCTAGTGATTATAGCAGTTGTGTTGGTACGAAGGGTACAGACCACTAAACCACCACCACCACCTGGCCCTAATGAGAGTGCCTTATTGCCCCCACCACCCATAAGTCAGGGCAAGATGCAGCCTCCATCTTCTCATCACCCACGTTACGTACCTGGTATACACAACACCCAGCAAGGGGCACCACATGGTCATGCTGTTGGTCCTGAGGGCCCTATGCTGCAATATGCTGGGGGTGTGGTGCATATCCCACCACAGTCAGCCATGGCAGGTGGCGGCCAAGGAGCTCAACCTATCATAGTTTATCAAGACCCAGCCACAGCTGCCTCTGTGTATATTGCACAACGACCACCAGCACCTGCAACATCTGCTGGAAGACCAGAGTACCAATACCAACACTTAGATGTTATATGATCACGGGACAGACTAGTTTAGTAGAAGCATGGTGCCTCAGAAATTATCTGTACACTCATGCTGGACTCTGTGCTCAGTTGGAATTAATCTGAATGTAGTGTCAAGTGTGTTTGCAGTTACTGCAAATAGAACACTGTTGAATTAAGGCACTGGACTGCCAGAAAATTGTAAACTGTATTTATATTAACACATTAACAAGAATCTGTGATAAAGATGAAAGTTACAAATTGATAAAGTATATGTTGAGTGACTTTTGTCATGTCCTCTAAATATATCTGCAGTTTATACAAATGCAGATGAAAGTTACAAAAAATTAGTATGCAGTTATTATAGGAAAAATATAAATCTAGTCTATCACAAAGCTGTTAGTTTTCCAAGACATTTTTATGCAGGGTGACTACATGGTTTATAACACATTATTCTTTAATTTTTTTTATTTGACCAAGCATGACACGTACTTAGTTTATTATGCTCCTGCAAATATGAACTTGTAACAATTTTCATTATAGTAAATTCAGAATTAAGCTATGGCTGAAATGAGTATACTGTATTACAGTAGATTTATATGTCATTTCTGATGTTGAAGTCTAGTCACAAAAACCATTTTGTCAATGGTTTTCAAATCTCTATACATATGTACAGTATACCATAGATAGAATTATATTATGTATTAACTCATTCCATGTGTGAGGATGCTTTTACTGGTCCCTTGAGGAAAAAAAAATTGAAACTAAAAATATATTAAAGCAAGTACATCCTCAGACAGTATTTTTGATATGTGCCAAAGGAAGTAAAATGAACTGTAAATTATGATTAACTGTCTAAAAATTTAAGGGATTATTTGATATTCTAATTTATGTGATAATTAGGAATTATACTTTATGGGAAAGGCATATAAGATAAGAAATGCTGAGTAAAGTTTTGTAAATACTGCCTTGTTAATAATTCAAGCAATTATCTTGAATTACACCAGAAATATATGCATGCAAGAAGTAGACACTTTCCAGTATTGGTGGTGCTGTATATATCAGTTTTGTGCACCTTCTGGATTTATTGAAGTTGCAAAAAAATGGATAAACCTCTATGGGTTAAACCACCATTCACCAGTGAGGCTTATGATTTATTAGCTATGTTATTTTTCTCTTAATAAATTTTAATAGAGCACTTATATAGGTTTTACCTTACTCTGCTGCCTTACAAAAGTTGGATTTTTTATTTAGTTGCCATCTCATTCTTTGAATTTAACTAGCTTGCACTCAATACAAAAATAACTACTGGTAGGTAGCCACAAAGATCAGTGACTGTAGGTTATAATCCTATACACTAGCACCATTCAGGTGCAGGTCACTGCTGCCAGAGTTAACTCTGTACTGTCCAGTAAATTATATTACTTGCATCAACCTCATTAACATTCACCTTTTTACCCTTTGTTCATCCCTTTTAAGACTGAAATTTTATGGTGTTAAATGTCTTAAATTTATAGTCTCCATTGAATTTTGATAGACTGAGACATGTAAACAGGTCTGTACTTTATATTTTTCTTAACTTAATTTTCTATTCTTGATAACGTGTTTGATAATCTGTAAATACAATACATTACATAATTGGTCACTTTTTTTCATAAGTCATGCACTCTTGTGAAATCCAGTTATAAGTTCAATTAACATTTTTTTTTTTTTTTTACATTATTTTGGTACACTGCTTTTATTAATGTATATTATTTGGAATTACATATGTTTTTGTTTATGGAGGTTTTAGCTGAAACAGAAATGTGGAGCAGTTTATCTACCTACATGGAAGTGAAATATAAATCCATAGATGCCATCCACAATCAAAAAACAATATATACAGCAAATATTTGAATGCAGTTACACTGCATGTATTTTTGTAATTTTCCAACACCTCTGAAGAGCTGTGATGTTACAAAAGAAAAATATTACTGCTGTAGAAGTAAAAAGTCTCTTCATAGTGAGTGACATTATTTACAGTACAGTTACTGAACACCACAGTATTTGAAGGTATTATGAAGTGTGCAGTATTACTGGCATAGTGCAGTGTTCCATTTTTCCTTCAAGTTTACACCATATGCGTGTATACATTGCAACGCCAATGTTGTCATAAATAATAAACCAATAATGCAACTGTCAGCATCACTGTTGCCTCGATATTTTTTTAAATTATTCAGTACCTTAACTCTTTATGAAGCAAAATCAGGTAATTGTACAGTATGTAGTATCTGCTGTATACTTCAGTTCTAACACAATTTATAGATTCAGAATTTACTTTTATCATGGCTACATTTTTACTGAATATATATTAATAAGAAATCTAGAGAGCAAATCAGTGAGAAAGAATATATAATAAGGGGAAGGGGATAAGGAAAGTGAAGACAAAGAGTGAAAAAGACAATGAAAAAAAAAAAAGGATCACATAGAAAGTAAACAAGTTTAGAAATATAAGATGTTAAGACAACCAAATAATAAATGTGTATCTAGTGTTTGATGGGATATAATCAGTGCGTCCTTCACTATAAATGACAAGCGTGGTTTTCAACTACAGTGAAAACAAAGCCTTTCTCTTAATGCTACATATTCACAGTTAACTACATATAAATATTGATTAATCACGGTTAAAGCAAAGGAATGCTACCTAGAACAATTGTGGTCTTGTCTTCAAGCATGCAGAAACTAATGCACTGTAATAAACTGGAAAACACACTTGCTATGTGGAGAATGGGTTGCCATGCAAGGTGAGGGTATGTTGACAGCCACAATACATATTGCCCTTGTGTACTACAAGGCTCCAAATTAAAGAAATCTCAACTTTGGTTACATACCATATATTCAAACTAAACTTGAGTTTTAGATGTTGATCCAGTTTTGTGGTCTCCCTGTAAAATAAAATTTGCATGAGAGTCTATGCTCATATTGAAGTTGTTTCAATAATGTGGTTATAGATTTAGTATTTTAAGTTATTAAAATTAGATACAGTACTCTACTAAAATAATTTATGCCAATTTGATTTCATAATTAAAATTTTATCATTATCTAATATTGTTGAGATTATCAGAATAAAAGTACAGCATTCATTTATGGGTAAGATTATTATATTTCATACAGTAAATATTTAACAGCATATGATAACAGCATTTTATATTTGAAGCCAAACAGTGACAAGTAAGATTAAATTTTTTTTTTAGCTATATAACTGCAGTTACAGTTCATTGCCATGTAATACAAGTGTGACCTTCACGTGTTGTGATTTGACACCAGTTTGTTGCCAACAACCAGTATAATAGTCACGTGTTGTGGTTTGACACCAATGTGTAGCAAAGAACCACTGTAATATATTTAGAAAAGGATAACCCTTTCTGCCGTAATTATCCTAGATTAATGCAACAGTGTATAGCCTGTCTTAGCAATAGATTGTCAGCATATTTACTGTCTACATTATGTTATGCAAGTGCGTATGCATGCATATACAGCATAAAGGAAACAAAATGAGCAAGCAGACAGGGAAAACTTCACAGTAACCTACCACCCCCAGAACAAGCTTGATAACTCACACACTGCCGTGTTCAGTGATCACCCTAATTTAGAGAACAGCTTAACATCTTTGAAACAAAACAATATGCACAGATGATTAGTTTTTGTGATACTAGCATGGATTGTATATTAGTTAAACTATTCAAAGAAAATTATACAACAAAAACAAATAGGAGGGCATGTGAGGTATTTCCATGTACAGTCATCCCTTCAAATTTGCAAGTGGCTTTATGCCTACAGATCCTGTGAAACTAAACACTGAAAAATGAAAATTTAAGTCTGGACAACAAATTCTGTTAAGGATTTGGACTCATTTTGTTTCAGATTATTATAACTATCTCTTTAATATACTGATCTAATTTTGTTAATATGGACAGTTATAGAATTAATAGAGAGAGATTTGGGCATAGGAAAGTCAGTGAGCCAGAAAAAATTTGGATAACTAAATTTATTTACATTTAATTGAAATCCACAAATTTTCAGGGATGACTGTATCAAAAATACACAGATTACTGTATATTTCAGACAACCATTGACTCAGTATTCAAATACTTAATGTACAGTGACAGAAGTCCACAATACTGAATATTATGGCTATCCTATTACCTGTTCCATAGAACTCAGTGTAATTTTATATATCCAGAATACTAGTAGTATAACACCTTGTAATCATGTACAGTATTGTAATGAAGTAGATTATTTGGATATAAAGAAGTTTTCTATAATGTAATGGAGGAAGTCTGTTATAATGAATTTCCAGATAAGTGTCCAAGATATGCTCCATTATGGCTCTGTCCATGTAATCAAAATGAGTCATGTCCAGGATCACCAATGATGTACAGGAAATCCAGCCTCTCCCAGTTCTTTATAAAGCAACCGTCCACTGTATTTTTTCTGCATCACAGGGGTGTCATGACAATGTACTGGCAGAGAAAACATCTGCATTACAACTTATTAGACTAACACCTGAGAATGTCAATGACTTACATAATACTTACAAGCAAGCTAAGCTAAAAATGTATACCTCAATCTTCCTGTATTAGTATACAATTTTAATAAAGATTCTTGGTTCAGTATCCCTGTGAAGCTTCAGAAAACTGTACATACAGTACTGTGTAAATTATATATATATAAAAAATACACATACACACTAATTGATGTGTTCCACAATGGCATGTCAATAAATGTGAAGATTGCTTATGTCATTTATTACAACCTACTCCTTGTTACAGCACTCATTAAGAGTATGTTTAAAATAATGCATTAGCTCTTGATGCTTGGTATACAAAGTATAAAATTACAGCTTATGCTGTAAGGTTTTCCTAAGACTTAAGTAGATTTTATAAGATCAAGATGATTATTCTATTCTAGGGATCACACAGCACCAGGGGAATAGGAACAAGAGGGTAGTTTCAAGTCCTTGGATCAAGAGCACTTTGTTGGAATCAAGTAATCTTGATGCATACAGGATTGGATTGAACCTGAATGTCCCCCATTTCATAGGCACTATACAATCTCTATGGATTTTAGTGCTTTCCCCTGGCTAAAATAAATTATTACATTCATAGGGAGATACTGGAGTTCAAAGGGTCATCTGAACTGTGATGTCACCACACTTCTGTGAAGACAACAAGTGAAAGAAAGAATGTATTTTTCTCTTGGGTTACCCTGTCTTGGTGGGAGACCAAGAGTGCCGATTTTCCAGTACCTTTGGTTTCACTGCCGGCTTATCCATTTTGCCAGATCAACAGAAGTTATGTAATAATTCAGCAATACACCTCAGACCCACTAATTATACACCTGTGTCTCTAAAGCACCATTGTTTATTAATTATTGTACTTATCTTTTTAAACAATTCATTCAAGCAAAGTTGTTTAAGGATCTTTGAGCTTTCCTTATTTAATTTTTCGTGCATCAAATAAAGATTCATTAGCTCTTGTTCCATTACAAAGGTACATTGTTCTAGCTCTTTGAATAATTACTTGGCAATTTGATTAACTTGTTAAAACTATGTCTTTCAGCTACACTGCTGATACTTGCATCTTTTTTTTTTTTTTTTTTTTTTTTTTAAAGCTTTAGCTAGGGTTAAATGCCAAACAAATTTCTTAATCAATCAAAATAAGGTTTCATACCGTACACTGTACTTTGGCCCTACTAGGCCTAGTTCAATGTAGTAAGGTATGTATAGTAATGAAAACTATACAAGCAGGTAAAAAAAAAAATGTAGAATGATGTTTTCTTACTTTAAATTCTGGGTGCTGGTGCGTGTTGATCTTGAAAAGTATGGTGAGGGCTGCTATGGCCCTACTGGGCCAAGGTGGATAGGTATAGATCTTGTGTTCTGCAACTTTACCAATATAATGCAACATCTTACACATTTCTTGGAGTGTTAACTGTTTAGTAGAGGTTCTTTACCTCATTCTTGTCTGTTATCTGCTACTCTTTTAACTGAAAACTGAGCACCTCAAACAGTGTTTGTAGTCGGTTCATCATCATTTATGTCTTCTGCCTGCATATTTTCCAACCCCTCACCTGTCAATGTCCGAGCCACAGTAATAAATTCCTGGACTTGGCTCTCTGAGGGGAAAACCTATGAAATTATTCACCACACTAGGCCATAATCTTCCCCAGACTGGATTTATTGCTGATTCTGGAACTTCATCCCGTGACATTTTTACCAGGGTTATTGACTGCAATGTTAAAAAGTATGCTAAAAGTCTGGCATCGCTGTCTCTGCATTGTCATCCACTGCTGCCATGAGTTTCTGCATGGCCTTGTATTGTGTAGTGGCAGTTAAATGGCATAATCTTAACTGTATCAAAGATGCTTCATTTGAGTGCAAAAAACAACCTTCACATCTGGGTACACACCTTACAAGGCTCAAGCATAGCTACAGGAATCATCAGGAGTGATGAGAATCTTGAAAAGTTCTTTCTCCTCTAGGTACAACTTCACTACAGGAATACAATAATGCTCAAATCACTCAACAAACAAGGCTTCACTCATAGATGCTGCCTTGTTGGCCTGCAAAGCAGTTTTGGCTGTCTTTAAAAACACAAGGAAAATGTTAGTGATAAATTATAAATTAGCAAAGGTTTGCATTT